TCGATTTTTGCGATGTTTGAGAAACGAGGCTGTGAGTTACAGGAGGTAAGTGAGCGGGCTGCGTACAAATATGTTATGCCCAGGGTCGGACATAGTCGGGCTTGCTAGCTTGTCGAATAATTTCCTCACAAGTTGCTACCAATTTTTCAAAATAAGTAATTGATTTTATTTCAACAGCTTTTTTCATAAAAATCAAATGTTGAGAAGAAAAGGCCATGCATTTTGATGTTTAAAGAGAGCAAAAATAACAGCGTTTCGAGTAGATTTTAAGTTTTTGAACTTTGAAATCCAAAGAGTTTATTGCATACTACGATAATCAAATTCGTTTCATGATCACGCCTCTGAACAAGAAAAATTTATACTATTTATCGTCGAGTCATTTGTAACACAATATGCGTAGTGCACACTACACATGCTAACTGACGAACTGCAAAACTAGAACCTGCTCATTTCCACTGATTTCTCCTTGCTTCCTTGTTTCTTTTGTTTTATTTGGTTATATGTTAATCAGTAGAACACATTTCTGCATTTTGTTAAGATAGAAAATGTTTCACTGAAAAGTTAGTAGTATGGGTGCCGTCACTGACACGGCTTAGTGTGCAATCTCACATATTAAGTTACAAATGACTCGAGGTTAGATCTATGAGTGAGTGATCTATTTCCTGATTGTTTAAATTTGTTAAAAACTCTTCAATCAAATCTAAGTTATGACTAAAAAATCCTATGGTAAAGTATAGTTTATATATCTAGCTTCTTCTACATCCATTGAAAACATTTTTGAGTTTTGCTTCATTTATAAACTCACTTTACGTCATTGATTCGTTAGTATTTCAATCGTCATTATAAAAAAAAACTCTCACGGCCGCCATTACTCGACATAATCAGACTTCTACAATTTGACGATATTATTGCGCATAGCAGCGTAACCAAGCAACACGTACTAAGTATTGTTTATTGTCTGCTATACAATGTCGGGGCAGTGCTTGCATTTTTTTCGATGTCGAATAGCTCCGTAAGCTCAATGATCGCTTCGTTATAAGCTTTCTATCGATGTCGATATGCATCACTGAAGCCGTATGTATGGCTATTGTGACATAAGCAGGTTTTGTCATACTTTCCAATTTTCTCTCTGACTACTTTTACTTCCTTTTAAAAACCCACTAGTATTCATTCTTACTTTTGGTATAATTGTTGTCGTTGAAATGAATCAATCAATTTAGATAACATCAACAGAAATCAGTAGATAACATGATTTTCGTGTAGCGTAGGACCTTTTGCTACATTGCGGTCGGAATGTCTACATTTTGCAAGTAGCAAAGTGTCTGGTCCCAGCAAAGCCTACTGCTTTTGAAAACAAAACAATTATCTCATGAGTTTTGCTTAGAAAAGCAGCAAAACAAATGACAACCTGGCAGAATGAAATTTGAAAAGTATATTGGATATCAAAGTAATTTGCAGTAGTCTCGCAAGACGGTTCAAATGAGTCTCCATAAGAGCTGAAGATTTCTTATGCAGAAAGTTCTCACTGATTTATATTGGATCTTTCTTGCAGTATGACAGCGTTTCCACGTTACTGCTGTTGTGCGTACAAATTATGTCGGCCGTTTTATTCTTGTCTAACAAATACCAGCGCGAAAAGCCCAGTCAGTCTTGAAAAGTTGACATTTTTTACATCATTGTATGTCCTGTTTAATCTTTGATCTTTGAAGGAAGCCAATTCTGTTTTGTCTCTGACATGCAAACGCCATTTCCATTATCGGTAACAAATTTGTGCAACGCCTTTTCATAAAAGAGCAGCAACCAAAAAGATGCTCCTTTCGTGATATCCAAACCTTGTAGGCTAAGAAAATGGAGCAGGTAAGTTCTAAAAAACAAGCTCTTCACAGTAATATACTCTATCGCAAACCAAGAGCTACAAAGAAGCGAGGTGGAAAATGAAAACACTACAAATTTACAAAACGACTCAGTACAACTCATTTCGCTTGAAGTTACACACGCCCCCGAAAAAATTTTTTTATACTAATTTGAATTTTTAAAAATTTTTAAAAATGATTTTAATTGTTCACAAAAATAAACAAGTCATTTGCACATTTTTATAACTCATGTAAGTTACACTACGGGGCCGGGCGGATGTCATAGGCTACTTTTCGTCATCGATCGATATCGATTTTATTGTTTTTTCAAAAAGTTCGAGCTACAGGGCTGGGAGTTGGCACAGGGGGGGGGGGTAATCGAGCATGCTGATTACAAATATAATAATGACAGGGCCGGGCGGAGCCGGGTAAGCCAGCTAGTCTATCATAAGGTCAAGGTATAATTTACCTCTAGATAAGTACTCATTGCACAAGGTCTCGGCAAATCTGTGGTTCCGTTACTCAACTGATGAATGTCTGCGCGGAAAAAAGAAGACAGCGACTTGTTCAACTTTTCGAGGGCAAAGATTTCAACCTTGAAAAGTTGAACTGTGGCTATAGTACTATAGATTACTTACTGTAAACGCCAATCTATAGTAGGTACATCCTTCTTTTTCCTGCTCACTAGGAAATGATCAGCAGTCGAATTAGCCAGTCCGAACAAACTGCATACAACTCAATGCAGCTTACAATGCTGACTTCATATAGTTTTCCGCACCTGCTAAAGCTTTGTAGTCGAAGTTATGGAGTTAGAAGTTTTATTGCGAGAACATCGCGCACAAAAATGGCAAAATTGAGCACATTGCCGCCTCTTTGGCTCACCTTCATATGGGCTTTATGAAGTGACCTAACTACATGTTTTGGCCCAGCATTAAGTTTAACGTGGCTATATACGGCCAAATTTGCCTTTGCGCATGCAATTTCTTGGCATGGTACTCAACGGCTTATAGCTTGGTCCACAAAGTATTTAGCAGATAAGGAAGACACTTTTAAAGTCAGCTTTCTATGCTGCATCTAATGGTTTGCAGATTGTTTGGATTTCGCACTTCGACTTCTGATCACTCCCTTGTTCAGTAATTCAATTCTAGCAGCATTTCGCTTTCTTCTCGAATGCTTGACGTAGGTTGTGCACGGCCATTTGTGCGATACAAATGTGAAACCTTGATTTTTTAACATAAACTTTTTTCTTCCTTGAAGAGAGAAAACAGTTTGTGCATACTTGCTCACGTCACAATCTATACAAACCAAAAAGTGAATGCGCAGAATACATTTGGAGAAAAGCTATGGGAAAAGTTGCAGCTGCACTTCCAACCTACTACAACCTACAAAAAGGAAAACGTTTGTGATCGCAGAATTGAATCCAGAGATTAGGCTTTTGAGCTCAAGTCACATTCTGCTAAACGTTATGAGTAGTATCTATGTGAATTCGGCAATTTTAAGAGTAACCCAGCACCGGATTTCCTTGACTTGTTGAGCACGATTTTTGACTTAATAACATTTTTTTATCTAAAAAGTATAATGTTTGGTCTATGCGTGTCTTTTGTTCTAAAAAATAAGATCTGTCTACTCTCAGTGAGACGAGCTTTCTTTTGTGTTTCGCCTAATAAAGCACCAATTTATGGTAAAGTCTATAATCTCATCTCCACTGTACCTTCCACTGAATTCTGTGAAAATCAAGCTTACAAGTTTTTTAATTTGTGTTGCAAATATATAAGCTACACATCGAAAGATCCCGGGGATAGTGAATGAACAACATCTGGTTAAACTCCATGTTCTCCGATGTTTTGCTTTAATGTGTTCGTAGCAGCGGTTTATTGTTCATTAAGAAAAGCATAGGGTTACGATGGTCGTTTTCCCATCTAATTGTTGGCTTCACACTACAAGTTTTGGAATACAATATATTCGAATACCAGGCCATACGAAGTTCAATAGAAAATACCTCTATGAGTTTGTTGACGGCTGAAATGTGAGGCATGCAAGCAGAGAATTTGATTAGTCATTTAGAATAGCTCATACAGCTTTTTGATAGAAAAACGCCCAAATTTTTGAGTTTGTCATAGTTATAATAGCATAATTGGGTTGGACTTCAGAATTGAGTTGTTTCATGAGTTCTGCCCTTTTTTTGGATTTTGCTGTACTATACAATGTGTATAATTTTTGAAATCGGACATTCTCACATTTTCCGAAGCCGTAAGCTCAGATGAAATAGAATATACGATTTGCGCTTACAAGGAAGAGCATTTGACTTAAAATGGCTTTTCAACCAGGACGCATACCATCAAAAATCCATAGAATGTTGATTGCGCAGTATACCAACGGGTTTATCACATAGTCATTGCAATGCTAGCATTTCTTTGTCGTCAAATTGGGTGGTCAGTTCCCTTTGGTGAAGAAAAATTTGAAAGATGTTTGTTCACAAGGCTAACTTGAGTCGGAAACCTTTTCTCGCAAAGCAAAAGTTCTCAAAATTCTCTCTTTTCTAATTAACACACGTAGTTACTTTTACTCAAAAGTATTTGGCATTACGCAAGTTCTTGGGCATAACTAATGACATCTTCTCAATGATATAACGGCACACTTCATAGCCAAACTAAAACAACGAAGAATAAATCGATGAAGCTTTGTGTAGGAAACCCCCAATAGTTCAGTACTTCGCAAGACCTCGGTTCGCCAGCTGCTCGTCAATTAGATTTTCACAGGAAGTGCAATAGAGACTAGCACAGTAAAAGTCCTTAAGAGTTTACTACTCGAAAGACCGCAATGAGTATGCCAAGCACTTGTGAGTGCACACTTTTCGACTTTATATCGCTCACACAAGCCGTGTCATAGCGTCTAATTTATCAACAAGTCAACTACACCCTTCCGCTGAGTTTCGCGAATAGAATTTTAGTTCAGAAATTTATTCACGTTTTGTTACTTTATTTTCATCTTTTGAGTTTTACTAAATGATTTAATACCTGCTATAACACTTCGAATCGTTTCGAACTTTACTACAGATTGTAATTATCATATCCGTATAAGCATCTGCAACTAATTACTGAACAGCAGAAAGTACTCGGTTTATTATTTTCATTTAGATATATAACAATGTTCAATAGGAATCATAAGCAAAAATGGGCCACAACAAGATGTCGATCAGTAGTCGACCTTCCTACTGCCAAGGAGAACAGAGAGCCCCTCAGTTCAGGTAAGAGTTGAATTTTAACAAAGAAAAGGTATCGATGTATAAAGTACTAGTTAAGCAGCTATGTAATCGGCTGGTCAACATAGAATGACTATAACGATGCATTTTCGTCTACAATTATGGTATACCGATAGGCATTTACTGATTTTCAAAGAACGTATAAGAGCGTGAAAATATAAGTAACCTTTCAATAATGTTTGATTGAAAGTCACATCGCACAAACATGTCTAATTTCTAGGTCAATTTAGCATTACTTTTTGAACGAAATGCTTGTTTTTGAACAAATGTGACTAGTTGTTGAAAGATAGAGAAGCAACTTACAGTCGAGTAGATTTAGCGGTAAATATAGTGTGCTTGCACAGAAGGTGAAATGCGGTGAAATTTGCGCGTGAACAAGTAGCCACGCCAGTACTGCGGGCATCGTGCGCGCGCAATTGGCCGGCGTCACAGTCGAAGCTATTTCTTCACGCGCAAATTTTACAGCATTTCACCTCCTGTGCAAGCACACTATATTTACCGCTAAATCTACTCGACTGTATGTCTTGTGTAGAAAACATATGATACAATTTCTAAGGCTCAGCTTTGCAATAAAATATAAATGAGCCCAATTGTTAAAATTACAATACCGCTCACAGAATGTGCAAAATTTCCGTAAATGTCGCAGAATTCCGAGAATTCCGCGAAGGTTCGCGAAATTCCGAGAATTTTGCGACATTCCCGGAATTTCGCGAACCTTCGCGGAATTCTCGGAATTCTGCGACATTTACGGAAATTTTGCACATTCTGTGAGCGGTATTGTATAAATGACCCTGGATTGTTAAGATGAGTTCGCGCAGGGCTTAGTATAGACACACCATGTTAACACCATATTATGTAACGTTGAAGTAGTGACAGCCATAGGCACGGTGAATACTGTGAAATGGAAGAGAAGTATTATTGAAAAGCTAACTGAACAAACATGGTGTAATGCCCGGCGACAAAAATTTATTTATACTCGCTGCAGAAAAACGAGAGCCCAATTTTCGGACACTTCCTAATTTCCCTAGCAGCAGATAATGGGGAATAAACCGTTTTAGCAATTTATGCATGCAAGGAATTCAATTAGAGTTTGAGCATCTGTAAAAGTAACCCAACAGTAGAGCTGGAAAGTTTCTCGAATCAAATTAAACTGTGAAAATGGTCGATCGAGTTCGATTTTGCGAATTTCTGTTTTACTAAACGAGCACTCATTTCTTCATCTCTTCTGTTATTTGAAAACGAACTGTGGACTTTTCGATTTTTTGTATGCTTTCCTCCCTCCCCTCCTATTCGTATTACATCTCCGAAGCCCTCGTCTTAATGTCTCTCAAACACAAGTTGAACTTCCGATTTCGTTGGGGTCCCCACAGCTAATGTTTGAACAAAGTAAAGCACGCTTTGTTTTCGTATGCAAGATTCCTCAAAATGAGAACTTGCACAAAATAATGGGAATGATGTACGATAAATTTCTCCCAGCTAACGACAAATTTGTGAATTAAAAACTTAACAATACTTGAACGGTATAAATCGCATTTAGATATCGATGCTGATCGCTTACATTATGAAGACATCCCGAACGAACAGCAAAATCGAGCTCGACAGAATATTTTGGAGAACAACATAGTGGTTTGTTCTGAATTTGGTTAAAAATTTCGGAATATGGAGCCCCTGCAGTACATTATTCTAGAACCGACCACAACGCTCCCGCTCGTCTAATGTGCGGCGCTCAAGCATCAAGGAGGATCTGAAAGTGAAAAAACACGCAATTTATCATTTTTCTTTGTGTTTTTTAAAGTTTTTTTTTGCAGCGTTTGTGGGGTAGCAGACCGTCATTAACGCTTTTCAACCGCACTACCCGTGTTTCAAATGATGAACACGAAGGCAGAAATGGAAGAAGAGTAGTTGAAGGAGACGGTATAAGTGATGATAATGCTTCTATCAATAGGTATGCAGAAATGTATAGGCAGCAACGTACCTCAATATGATTTTGCTTCAGTGATCTAGAGACGATGCCTGCATTTTTTATCGTTGATCGAAGCCTCGTGAGGACTCCAAAGCCCACTAAACCTTTCAAGTTTTTTAGAAAAAAGGACAATGACTGATTTTTTGAATTCTTTGTTAATTTCTGGTCGATCATCACGCTCTTTCAATTTGCATCTACCTCGTAGCTTTATGTTTTTTTTTTCATCGTGTGCTATTAACAGGGTCGAATAAAATCATAATAATCTATTGACACATGCATTTAGTTCTTAATGGCTTTCACTTTTCTGATAGTACGTAACAATTGAATCAATTTTTGATGTTCGAAAACTTGGGCATCTTGTGTATTTTCGTGCATTAGTAGTTATAGAAAGCAAGCGTTGAAACAATTTCCTTTCTATCCAAGCAGGTGCTTCTATTTGAATTTTTTTGACATTTCTATTCAAATCAAATTACATAGATCTTTGCGTACTAAAAACCAAATTAAACGATGCCAATATGAGGCACCACTTGTAGGTGCTCAACCCATAGTATCATTCAAAGGTGTTGTCAGGCAATTATGGACGCATGGAATTCACACGTGCAAACTAGCGCCAGAAAAATGCAGCCCAAGCTGCACTGCAGATGGTGCAGCTGAGATACTCCCCCCCCCCCCAACCGAACCTTACCGTATTTCTAGACGACTTGCATCGGCTTGCATGATTTTGCTTTGGAGGGAAGTTACTCTCGTTATAGTTCCCAAGCTCCCAAGATCAATTTTGAAAAAGCTTCTAAAATGCAAGCAAACAATCCAAACAAAAAAGGGTCTTGGGTACATGGTTTTTTTGTAAATTTGAATGGGTTGGAGATGAGATAGTGCATAAAGTGGATTTTTATGTAAAAGTAACCAAGCAGATGACTTCGAGAACATGGTCGACTTTAGGCTCAAAAGAAGAAATTTTCACAGCTCCCCTACAAACAAAAATTATTCCCAGTGTCACTGTCACATGAGTCATGCACGTGCATCCTCTCAACTTTCATCCGCCTCACAGTCCTCACCTTTTCTTACTCCCCCCCCCCCCTCATTCGTAGGTGCTCCTCACAGCTCTACCGACCCCATTCGGAAAAGCAAGATTTTCGTTCGCTTTCCGTGCAAGCGCGGAACTTTGAAAATGTGCCCCGAAATGAACAAAAGACTTGCTTACAGCGAATAGGACATGATAGATACTAGAAAGTAACCGTGTAGATGCACAATAGGAATTGGGATTATGTATGAAATAGTTATTTGAAATGAAGGCGTGGCAAACTTTATTTGGAATCTGTGGCTTTTGAGCAGCCTTCATAGCCACCTGAGGTGGCTCAGAGAAAAACAAAAACATAGATTACGTAGAATTTTACTCTTCGCATGATTTCACTACATGGTTTTCCAGAATCTGCCCCAAAAGGCGAAATTGCAAAATATAAACCAAAATTTATGTTATATAATGAATCAAATTTTATCAAAACATTTTTTGAAATTCAAAAAGACATCTATTTGAGAGCATGAGGTTTGAAAAATGAGAGTGGTGTCTCGAACAAGCAAAAATGGAATATCTATACCATTTTGCTAGCCCGCAATAATGAACTTTTAAAGGGGTAAAAGGTGCTCTAATCAAAAAGGCTGCGCAGCTGGTGCGATCAAAAGGGAACTCGTAAAAAAGACGTATCCATTTCAAAGGGGTCCATTTGCTCCCTTCGTGCCGAATCCTCTTCTCAAAGCCTAAAATCTAAGAATATTCGCCGTTAAAAGTTGAAGTCAGTCTAATATTTATCCTTTTCATAATTATCATTCGACAGAATGGTTTTTTGCCAGTTATGTGACTCGACCTGTAATGCAATTTTTGGTGGTTTTATGACAACTTGAAAACACAGTGCTACACAAAATATCCTTCAAAGTTAGTTGACTCTCATGTGGTTGAAAGATCGTCGGCTAAACACTCTAGATTAGACAAATATCTGTGAACTACAGCATTATTTTTGTACAAACTCAATCGAGGTGTCCTTTTGTGGCACTTACAGTCTACGCATGTAGCCGCTGTACTAAAATGTAGATAGGCGCAAATGTTAGCGAAAAATTAGGTTGAGCCCTTCATATCTTATATATAAAGCTGAATGTCTGTCTGTATGTCTGTCTGTCTGTCTGTCTGTCTGTACGTATGTGCGGAATAGAAATTTTTATTTCTGAACCGATCGGGACCAAACTTGGCACACATATACTTCGGGGCAGGGAGCGTGTCATAGGCTACTTTTCGTTATCGATCGATATCGATTTTATTGATTTTTTGCAAAATTCGAGCTAGAGGGCTGGGATTTGACAGAGGGGGGTAATCGAGCATGCTGATCACCCCGAAGGGGGTGATCAGCATGTTCGATTACCCCCCTGTGCAAAATCCCAGCCCCGTAGCTCAAAATTTGCAAAAAATCGGTGAAATCGACATCGATCGATAACGAAAAGTGGACTATGACACGCTCCCTGCCCCGAAGTGTATGTGTGCAAAGTTTGGCCCCGGGCGGAGCCGGGTTTGCCATCTAGTTTATAGTAAAAGTAGTTTTAAAAATCTCACACTCGCCAGTTCACATAAAAAGCACCACAGACACGCAGCACATCAATGATCGAAATTATTATTCTTGATTTGGTGCAGGTCTTAGCCGATTGTATCCCAAAGAGAGTCAAAATTTGCTGCAGAAAAGAATGAAAAGTTCGTGAATTTACTTGTAGTAATGTTTGTTATCATGACTTATAATAAGCGGCTTAATCTGAAGTTGTGTGGAGTTTGTCCGTTACGAAATTACAGTGAGGAATGATTTACGATACTAAACATCATGTGAGGTTAAGATAGCGAGTATGGTTCATTTTTAACTACGGCTTACTTTGCAATAAACCGAACAATGATTTGAGAGACAAGCTTTCAGAAAGTGAGTTTACCACGGTTCACGATGCCAGTGCGAACCTCTGCGAAGCAGAGGTGAAGCACTGGTTTTTGAATAACAACCTTGCGCTTCACTCTATTGCTTAGCAGTTGGATCAAACAATTTTCGGGTCTCACGGATAATTTCTGAAAGCCGGAAAATTTTCTGTAACTTTTTCAACTTTGTTTACAGTAACATCAACCCGCTGAGGAACAATCCGCTTTACAAAGGTTATCTAAAATACATCCATTTCTTTACTCGTTATTTTGAGCCTCAAAAGACACTAAGGCAGAACAGATAATACCAGTTATTCTCCTATCATCTATATCAAAAAAGGCTATTTTGATAAAAGGTTCGCATAACCTTGCCAATCGAATACACAAGAACTACACGCGTTCAAAGGCAGCGTTCTGGGGGTACCTGATTCTGGTAGTGATGTTATAGTAGACCCGCTAACTAAGAGACGGCGGAAGTTTGCAGCGCCAAAAATGGTCTACAAAGTCTACAAATCGCCCCTCAAGTGGCCCGAATTTTACGGTAGGTTCGAGCGAGTACGAGATGCATGCAAGGTAGAGACGCAGAGTCGTTGCGGGACCCTGCGCTCATGACTGTGTGCGCTATACGCACTCTGGCCTTGCCAATCGATATGCTATGTGGGCGGTGTTCAGGCCTACCGTAAGATTCAGGTCACTTTCGGAGCAAATTTCAGGCTTGGTAGACCCCTCATTCGCTCCAATCTTCAGTCATCGCTTAGGTAGGGGGTCTGCTTTACCATCACCAGAAAAACCCGGCACCCATCTTTTTGCCGGGACGCTGTCTTTAATTCAAAATAACCAGAGTTGAAGTAATTTTATTCTCCTCTTCCACTCAAAAAAGGTACCTCTTAATAGAGGACAGTAAAGGCAATATCTCAAAGAAAAGAGTTCCTTTATCCAGCAAAATTAAGAAGGTGCAAATCTTGAGAGCAAGAAGTTATGATTTGTCAGAAATAATGTGCAGGAACTTTCGGGCCAACTTAATATACAGGGTGGGGCAAAACTGGGAGCCTATTTTGCAGTGCTGTCAATCAAGCAACTACTGATGATTTTGGCTCCAAACTTGAGCCACTTATTGCTGCGATCATCCTCTACAAATCACACTTTGGATGACTGAAAATGCTTGCCATATGTTTTTGTAGGAATTGGATTTATCAAACAAGTGCTTCTGCAAAGCAAAAAAATCGAAATTTTTGGTTTTCACAACTTATTTCATAGCTAAAGATACAGTGGATATTCTAAAGCACCTTGATGCACACAATGTAGAGAAGACCTTGCGCTATTAGTTCGTAGTCGTTGCGTTTGTCAGATGTCATTCTTTCGAAAACGCAAAATAAAAATTTGCGAATAATACCTGCGTGCCAGTGGCAATTTTTCTTTAAAAAATAAATTTGAAAGCTATAGGAGCACAGCAGGCACTGAATTCTAGGCTTTTTTTTCCATGAGTCTTCTATGCAAGCAAGTACTTGAGTTCGATCGATTAAGCAATTTCAATATTTTTCAAATTACGATTCTGCGCTCCCGTTCGCGCAATCGCATACATATTTCCAGTATGCGAATACACTGGCCTTCAATAAAAACTCCAAAATTTTTCCCTAGCAAAAAAAAATTTTCTCGCAGTACGTTGTAGCCAAAAGCTTGCTCTATCACATCGCTTGCTTGCCTGGTGAAAGAAACAGTTACCGTTAAGGCGTGGGACGAATTCAATTACGACTGCCTGCGTGCCACCACAGGCGGAGTTACCAAGATTTCGAAGGGCTGCTTTGAAGCCAGAAGAGGCAATCTCAAAATTCGAAAGCAGCGCTGTACTTGTACAGGTTCGATTTATGTGTAAACCGAATTTTTTACTCCTAGGCACTTTCCTTCTGATTTTATCTGAAAAAGTACTAGGCTCCCAGACTTTTGCCCCACCCTGTACATATGCTAAGCGCGACCAAAAAGGACCTCGGTCTTTCCCAAATAAAAAGGGCGCTCTCGCCTGTGCGGGCTCTCGTAACAATGGCCCGCACAGCGAGTGAGAGATTATAAATACTGCCCCTGGGTACGCCACTGTATGCTTCCTTTATGCTTCCACTACAGGATGTCCCAACAAATGTCCACACACTGTTTGATCGTTGATAACTCTCTTGCTTTCGAAATTCTCGCGAGGCTAAGATACCATGCTGTAAGGCTGGTTTCAACCTATAGTGAGGTTTATACTATAGAGGAAATCACATTCTCTTGATTATTGTAGGATTACGGTAAAAACTTCTGAACTTTGGGCCATTACGAGGAAAGGAAACGAAACGTGGGAACAGCTAGCGAAGGCTGGGCATGCTCTCCACTTCGCAAAAGGAAAGGAGTAGAAGATCTATACTAAGTAATTTTTATCAACAAGATTTGAAAAAAAACTTTGATTATTGATGTTATTACACTCACCAAACACGCAAAACAAAAACATCAATTACAGCTTTGGGAAAGTTCCCTCATATCTAAGGCTCGGGAAGCACTGCTTCTAAGGGAACTTCCCAAGAATTTCCTCGTAAAGTTTCTAACTTTATTGCTGTTGAGGTCATTTTTTTCGGGAAGTTCCCATTTTTCGCCTTCTTTCAATCCAGTACTAAATCGAACTCTTGGAAAGTTTCGCAAGATAGCTCGGGAAGTTCCCGTGACTTATCTGAGAAATTAGTTGTTTACCGAATCTTATCAACAATGCGTGGATGTCGTGCATTGTCTTGCTGTCGCGTGGTGTCTTGGTTTTTGGCGCCTGTTCTTGATATTCATTGTGATTTACAAACTCATTTATGTTTGGGCTGAAAGCAGCAAAAGGCAAGTTTTCTTAAGCCAAGAGAATAGACCTTACGACTGTTATAGGGTGTGATGAGAATAAAAAGCGGAAATGTTTGCAAAATGTGCCAGTTACATAAGGGTAGATTAAAGATTGTGGGATCTCAGGGTCATAATTGGTCGCTCCCGGACACTCTATCACACAATAGTGATCATGATGATCAGAAATTTCGAAAGACCTTCCAAAGACCTTACATCCTAACAAGAGAGCTGGATGAGTTTGCGCTTTCCCAAACTGCAAAGAAAGTGCGCATGAATTTGCAGTTAAGATCACTGGGTCCTGCTGCACTCTGCGCCTCAGCGTTGGTAGCCTGCTCTAGTCGTTCAAATGTGAATATCAAGAGGCCTTGAAAAACGTTAGGTCTCGCCGTTTTCGCCCTTCTTGAGGTGGATATCCCGTCAGAGCAGCTCAAATAACGAAAATAAAACAGAATGGATTTTTCCCCTGCACACTGCCTTCAAGCAATATCAAGCTTTTCTTGTTCAAAGAGACCTTTCGAAAACTCTTCAAAAATGCAAACAAATCCCGCCACATAGCGGCCTCTGCATTAACGAATTTCATTGTCAGCAACCCATATCAACTCAATGAACACAAAAAAGCGTTATGATCGCGATTGTTCCATTACTTAAGATCAAAAAATTAGAAACCCTATCATTAATGGGAAAAATCATCAAATTTCATTTGGAAAAGCTGAGCGGACTATCAAACTCTTTTACTGAATAAAACACCACCTTATATTCAGAACCGCTTTCTTCCAAGGATTCTGCGAATCCTAGGAAGAAAGCGGTTGCTATTAGGTCCGTAAATGTGATAGTGAAAGTGAATGGAGAGAAAAAATATATGGCTGGTCATTATTAACGTACAAAAATTTACCTTGAATCTAAGAGGTATGAAACATAAATGGGTTACTGTAAGTCTCCAACAAATTTTCATTGCTAGCCACATGTAACAAACGCCTCTCTTCTTAATGAAGCAGAAACATTGATCTAAGCGCAAGCCTGGGCTTGAGTTTTTGCCTTCAGATTCTTTCTGCAGTGTTCTGACAAAGTGAAGTGAATTTATCGTTTGTACGTATCATCTCTAAACTATAACCACAGATTTTACATTCTTCAGCGTTTAGGCGTGATGGGTGAAATCGTTTTACGAGTGATGATGCAAAAAAATCTTCATTTGTAGGCTATTCTGGCTTTGACCAATATCAAGAAAGTAAAATTACGTGGTAACTTACCTGTTCTCCAGCTTCTCTATCCAATATCTGACGAGTGAACTGCCAAAATTTCAAAAAAGGTGACACTTGTAAGCTAGAACTGAACACTATCATTAATCTGCGGAACTTATGTTTTGAAAATTCGTGTACATTCGTAAAGGTACATTTTGATGCGCAAAGAATGCTTCTATAATATTGACCTTATAACGTGAACATAAGGTGGTGTTCTATTTTAGTAAAAGAGTTTGATAGTCCGCTCAGCTTTTACAAATGAAAGTTGATGACTTTCCCATTATTGATAAGAATTCTCGAATTTAGTAATCTTAAGTAATGCAATAGGCGATAATAACCTTTTCTGTGTTCACTGAGTTGATTTCGGTTGCTGAGATCCGATAACGCAGAGGCCGCTGTGCGGCGGGTTTTGTTTGCATTTCCTAAAAAGTTTGCGAGGGTATCTTTTTCTGCTACCTTTTGCTATCAACGCTGAGGCGCAGAGTGCCGCAAGACCCAGTGATTTTAACTGCAGATTCATCCGCACTCTCCTTGGTGTTTGGGAAACCGCAAACTCACCCAGCTCTTTAAATAGGATGTAAGGTCCCTGTAAACTCCGAAATAATCAAATTTCATGACATCACTACTGTGCGATGGAGTGTCCGGGAGCGACCGATTATGACCCTGAAATCCCATAACCTTTAATCTTACCCATATGTAACTGGCACAGTTTGCAAACTATTTCAGCTCTTCATTCTCTCACACCACCCTAGAACAGACGTAAGCTTTATTCTGCTGCCTTCAAAAATTTTTTTTTATCACAAGTTGCCTTTTGCTGCTTTCAGCCCAAACATAACTGAGTTTGTAAATTACAATGATTATCAAGAACAGGGCCAAAAACCAAGACACCACGTGACAGCAAGACAATGCACGACATCCACGCATTGTTGATAAGATTCGGTAAACAACTAATTTCTCAGACAAGTCACGGGAACTTTGCGAAGCTAATTTGCGAAACTTTCCGAGAGCTTGATTTAGTACCGGATTGAAAGAAGGCGAAAAAATGGGAACCTCCGGAGAAAAATGACGTCAACAGCAATAAATTTAGGAACTTCCCTAGAAAATCCTCGGGAAGTTCCCTTAGAAGCAGTGCTTCCCGAGCCCTAGATATGAGGGAACTTCCCCCAAAGCTGTATTTGATGGGTTTTTTTGTTTTGCGTTTTTGGTGAGTGTAATAACACCAACAATCAAAAGTTTTTTCTTTCAAATCTTGTTGACAAAAATTATTAGTATAGAACTTCTACTCCCTTTCTTTTTGCGAAGTGGAGAGCATGCCCAGCCATCACTCGTCACTTCGCATCACGAGATTTTTTTTAAAGTAAGAAGAAGAATTCAAACAGTTGAAGACTTGTTCAAGGACATCTGAAGCTATGTTTCAAATATGGTAGCAGTATGTGTGTGTGTCTAAGGGAGAAACTACATTAAAATCTTAATTATCCTTAACTCTACCATGACATTTCGTCTACAAATACTCTGTACATGTTTGCTTTCAGATACGCAACTCCAAGAATTCAGCTATTGTTTTCGAATTTCCTTATCAAGAGGTTACACATAAGAAAAAAGTTGCTGAAAGCCACCTCTTCAGCGTTCAAATATGGACAAAACTCAGGAATGTTGTTATGGGTAAAAACCTGTATTCTATCATACTTTTGTACCATGTTTTAGACGTAGTCAGATTTTCTCTTTTAATATGCGAAATGTTTTTCATGTACACTTTTGAAACTGCTCACGTCACAAATGCAAACCATAGACAGTAAACAGCATTATGGTACTGTTTCAACTTTTTTTGATGCTTTGACAAGAACCCTTCTTGCAAACTGATCAAATGTGGTAAATCGTTAAGACACTGCAGTATCGTATTTTATCGTGTAGATTACTGCTGCTAGAAAATAACGGAGTATACATCTTAAATAATTCTAGGATCCTTTCTATGGGGGGAGTCACAATCTAGTCGTTGCTTCACAACCATTACCACTTCACATCCTTCGAAATTTCAATCTGACATGGTCCTCCGAACAGACTTCGGACACATACGGACAAGCAAACTCCATAGAGGCTTGTTATCATAAAGGAAAGTGTTTAGACTCAATCAGATTTGCATTCGAGTGAATTTATGCAGCAAAAGAGCGACCAAAAATCGCTTAGAGGCAGTGTCCCGGCAGATTTTTCATATCCATATTTTTGCATATTTTGGACCTTTTCGATTTCTAGATCCGAAGTTGAGCTTTGAAACGGGTAGAAAGAGCTTTTTTGGGGGCACGTTTATTCAATTTCCAAAAGCCAGCTCGGACGAGGATTTCAGTGGAATGCTGGGGGCCCTGGCACGAAGACTTGCCTGTAATGTGGAGTTTTGCATTTTCGCGACGTGCTTTGGCAGTTGGCTAAGCACGCGGTCAAGGGGCGGAGCTTGTGCCATGCCGCGTGCTTGGCCCTTGGATGACCATTCCGGTCTTTCGTCAGCTGAGGGACGGCAGGTTTTGCTGCTCTCCCTGTCAATGCAAGAAGTCAAGAGGATTTGTGGTCCAAGAAGAAAGAAGATGTATCTACAAGTGCAAACTTCTCGAAGGAGGAATTACGAACGCTAAAGGTACCTAGTCAAGTTTGATTGAACTAATTTTTTTCCCACACTTTTCTTGAAGTGTCTACTGAATAGGTTCTCTAGGAGAAAGTGTTAGCAAGGGATGGTAATTACTTCAGTATTACAATTCGTGGCAAGATGGTATATCGATTTGGGGTCATTAACGCTCATGTAACTACATAGGTCAGCAGACATCTCACAGCTTATTAGAAAACAATGCTATTGACACTGGCACATTGCGGTGGTTAAGAAGTCTTCTCTAGCTTCTAGGTAATACTATCTCTTTTTCTGCGATTCCCAGTTCTATCTAAGAGTTCTTACGAGGATATTAGAGTTATGGTACAATGTCGATTTGCAACTAGTGTTTAAATTCAGTATCACGTTAAACGTTTCGAGGAACTTCGTCTGCTCATATGAAATGCCAGTGGTGAGCTGGTCTTTAGTGCATAATCATACGTTCATTGTTGAAGCTTGACACATAATCAGTAATCGACCTGTAACACTAGAACGGCAATCAAGCGTAATAGCATCACAGATGCGACCAGTCCCACGTTGTGATTTCGTTTTAGAGTCAGCACGGATGCAAGGATGTGGAATTGAGTAGTTGTCCTTTTTGCGTCAAGAATCTTCTGTATCTCGCCTACAGGTCGAGATAGTTGGGTGATGGCATTATCACTATCTACAGCGTCGATATCATCTATTCACGTCCTAGACCACTGTATAATGTCCGAGTTACGCGATGGTAGCTTGCGAAGGATAAGTAATTGTACTGACATATGTCGTCAGCAGAGGCCTTCGAGTCCTATTAGAAGGGAGTGTTGTCGAACATACCAGAATCCGGGCCGAATACCTTCGGAACTCGATTTTGTGATGGTGCTTGAAATTATTCTGTTGAGTTTTCGATTCTCGTACCGAAGCGGTCATCAATTAGAAGTCGATCTATAAGGACATGGATGCGGTTTGCCGAGGCTGTCGAGCCAGAGGTCACTCCACCATTAGTATAACATTCGCGCTACCGTTTCGAGGTTCTTGATTATCGGTTTAGAGAGTAATCGATTAATATGCGAAGCCGGCTTTCGCAGAGTCATCGAATTTTGAAGTCTGGCTCCTGCAACCATGCTCTAAAGTAACGTTTTAGAACTTGCTAATGTTTAGATAATGAGATGGATTGAGATATCGATAGGCTCCGGTGCCCATGATTATCTTTACAGAATTGATCAGGTATTAACTCCAGATGCCGGCCCCTGCGCCGAAGTTCTTTATTATCGATAGAGACTCATATTATTAGTATGAGATACTGGCTCCTGCGCCGAGGTCCTTATTCACTGATTCAGAGGTTGACTTACTAACAGTGTCAGATGCCGGCTCCTGTGCCGATGAAGAGGTTAATCGAGGTTTAGATAATGAGATGGATTAAGATATCGATCGGCTCCCGTGCCCCTGATTATCTTTACAGAATGGATCAGGTATCAACGTCAGATGCCGGCCCCTGCGCCGAAGTTCTTTACTATCGATAGAGACTCAAATTATTAGTATGAGAGACTGGCTCCTGCGTCGAGGTCCTTATCCACTGATTTAGAGGTTGTCTTACTAACCGTCAGATGCCGGCTCCTGTGCCGATGAAGAGGTTAATCGATTTTTATTATAAGAGATGGCTCTTGTGCCGAAATTCTTGATCATCGCTTTAGAGGCTGATCAGTTGGTAGTACCGGCACCTGTGCCGAGGTCTTTCATTATCGATAGAGGTACGTTAATAGTAATATGGTCCCTGTGTCAAAGTTTGTCTTCAGTTCAAAGGTTGATAGACTAGTGGTGGGCACCGGCTCCCGAGCCTAGTTTAATTTAGAGATTATTCGATTTTGATGAACCACTTTATGCCGAAGTTTCTTTTGTAGCTTCAGAGGTTGATCGATTAGTAAGCTTCAGTATCGGCCTCTGTGCCTAGGTTCCTAGTTGCCACAGAAGTTTTATCATTAGTCTATCCAGCGCCGAGGTTCTCTATACGAACCCCGTACTAGTCGAGGTAATACATGAGAGCAGAGGTCGTCAAGCAGATAGTACTGGATGCCGGCTCCCGAATCGAGGTTGATTAGAGGTTGATTGAAAAATATTATACCGCCTTTTATGCCAAGATTTGTTATCATTGCCTCAGAGGTTGATTTATCAGTAACTAGATAACGGATCCAGCGCCGAGGTTCTCGACAATGATCCGAGTTTCTTGTCATCTGATCGAATAGTAATAATAGACGCCGACTTGTGCCAAGGTTTCTGACAATCGGTGGTGGTCGATTGATTAAGTTCATGCCGCGGAGGCTGATCGATTGATAGTAAGGTGGCTCTTGAGCTGGAGGTCGATCCAGAAATTAATAGACTAGTAGTAGTCATGCCGGCTTTTATGCTGATGTTCTCGATAAGTTGGGTTGACGGCTAAGTTATAGGAATAGCAATTCTTGTCTGCTCCGAATCAATCAATGCAGATCTGAATGACTGCAAGGTCGAGGGCGGCTGCCAATGCCATGGTCCATGGTAGCAATCCCGGTCAATGGAGTAAATGCATACCGGCTCCTAGGCCGAGATTTGCTTTCGAGATTTTCACTCTGTAGCGGCAACCTTCAGCCTTCTGGTTCTATAACGTCTTTTGGAAGAGGCGCTGATGATCCCTGTATATTTTTTGAATGTGAGTGAGCGAGATATTTAGATGATCACCGTTAAATAGTCGTTCCTGAATAAGAGCGAGTTTGTACACGTGGATAGTTTTCATGGTTTCTGTACTAACAAACGGAAGTTAGATTCCAGTCAATGCAGACAGTGGTGTTTTCAAGCAACGTCATAAATGGCACTTTAAGGTTGAGAACTTTTACTCAACTTGGTCATCCACACAGGTATTTGCTAGCGAGAGATTCGTCGTTCGACCAATTGTTGGCCTAGGCCAAGGAAGAGGTACTCAAGCGCGGAACGCGCTGCTCCCAATGCATGCTTTTCTGGGCAAGGTGGTTTGCTCAGTGAGGGTTTCACGGTGGCCAGGATTGAAGTTCTGCTGAAACTGCTGATTTCTGCGAAGCGCGCAAGAGATTGCAGGCTAATATGCAGAGTGCCCGCTATCTCACTCTCATTTTCTGGCTTTCTGTAGCCAGTCATGTCGGCCAGTCGCTCCAAGTTCCCTCATGAACGATTGATCATGTTATGTTGATCCTCCGACCTACTCGGTTCCCGGGTTGAAGTGAAGTAGACATTAGGAGATCTTGAAGACAGAACTTTGTGATAGTATCTTGGGAAGGTTATGTTTTGATAAGGGGAATAGTGCAGGATTAAGGTGCAGACCATGTATGCATTTCTGCTAGGTATCTTCATTATCGGGATGCCCTCAAGAGTGGATTTATAGCGATTTGGACGACTGTTCAGTTTTATAGTCTTTTCGTATCCCCCGATTAGGTCTCCCTCCCCCGGGTTCTACCCCCGGGCTTTAATATTTCCGTTCACTGTTGCGAAATGCAAAACAGAGGTTTTGCCGTAGAATATCGGAGGCAAAAGTGGAGTTTTGCATTTTCGCGACGTGCTTTGGCAGTTGGCCAAGCACGCGGTCAAGGGGCGGAGCTTGTGCCAAGCCGCGTGCTTGGCCCTTGGATGACCATTCCGGTCTTTCGTCAGCTGAGGGCCCACCCACCCACCCTTGTTGAGGCCTCAGCTGCTGTAGGTTTTAGATCAAGGTCCTTTGTAGGACCAGGATAGATTTTCAGGTTTTCACAGGGCCGCTGAACGAACAGAATGGAAGCTGAAAGGAACAACGCAGCGCGAGGGACACGGTGCACGCGGTGCAATTCCTACGACGTCTCTTCCATAGGAGCTTCACATCGAGATGGGCAGTAATGGCGTTCATTGTTATGGGCAACCTCGTCGAACTGGTCTCGTCAACCGCAAGCAACTTTGTTACTTCTGTATTGGTATTACATTCGACAAATGATTAGTTCAATCACTATTGTGTGTTCAAGTATTGTGTACTGTGTGTACTCGTAACTCTTACAAAGTTGGAGACTATCATTGTCATTTTGTCATCACAGCATTATTGCAAATTCTTGCGTAACGGTCTCTTGTTAGTTATCTCCGAAGGCGTGAGCCATCTCAGTTATTAGTTGATTACTTGTAAGAATGATACCAGATATTGTGCAGTGTGTATTAGTTTTGCTGTTTATTTGGGACCATCCCATCATTGTACATGAGCTGACGAATGAACCTTCACCCCCCCCCCGTTCACTGTTGCGAAATGCAAAATTTTGCTTTTATAGCATGCACAATGCGGCAGAGCGGTCATGGAGTCCCTCGCCGAACTTTAGGCGAAGTAGTCGAGCGCGCGCCTATTGGGGTTGCGCTCCCCGGTTTTAAGATCTATTTTCTCGGCCCAGGAGGAACATCAAATGGACTGCGCCTGGAGATCAGTAGGATGACCAGGAACTCCGCTATAGCTATATATCCCAGGGCGCGAGTCTGCCGCGACACTCCTTTAAGAAAAGTAGCCTATAGGTTTCTGAACCAAAAATTTCCCCGTTTCTCTCATAGATGACGATCTGGCTCCCAACACAGCAAGAAAAAAAGCGACAATGAGACAATTTTGAGAACAAAGTACCAACTCCAAATGCAAGGGAGTTTCCAATGTTCCAAGAAAGTCTATTTCCTCACAAACTGTTGCGAAAGAACACGGAGAAGCAACATGTATAGCAAAAAGTTGCAAAGCTCATGAGCACTCTTTTAGTAGGTATAGATATAATGAAAATTTGCAGCAAAATTTTTGTTGTTTCAAAAACTTTAAGACCAAATCACTAGATTTACGTTTTGACCAGATTAATTAATTTTGAGTCAAACTTTGTTACGATGTTTTTTGAAAAAAATTTGAGGTCCAATATATAGACGGCAAAGCGTCTACCGCTTAATATGAACAGAGTGTTCCCTTTTTTTCAGAAATACACATCTAAATACATTGCTAACAAAAAAGCAGCATTAATAGCTGATGAATACCTGAGTGTTGATTATTACTCAACAATTAATGTTAGAACAGATGAGGCCGTATACAAGCATATCATGTTGCTTATCATATGAGCTTATCAGCTTATCACAGCCAAAATTAAATCGAGTTTCATTTTGACTTTTACATTTTCTCTTCGCTGCTACTTGTTGAAACAGAAGCTCAGGGGCGGTATCATCAATCTCCCGTTTTGAAAGCGGGCAATCATTTTCTGTAGAAATCATACATCACGGGTCGGGCGCCCAACCCGGCCGGACGATCGTTTTCGATTGAAAATGATCGTCCGCTTTCAAAACGGGAGATTAATGCATACCGCCCCAGATCTCAGACCTTTTACGACGTAGGCGTAATCTGAGGCCAAGGACTATGAAGAAGAGAATTTTAACGGCAACTTTTTAAGTATTTTTGCTGCATTCTAGTAAAAAAAGAATGAATCTAATGTGGAGGAGCAACCGGCTTTTGGCAGAGTGAGCTAGATTGAGAATGAAATAAATATCAATCCTGACATTGGAAGCGATCAGAACACTCATCACTATAAAGCGTCGAAAAATGCAAGCTGAGCAGCTTTTGCTTTTTATCGTGTCAATGATAGGTAATTGCAATCGTTTGGTGTCTGTTGAACATCAAGCTTTTCAAAAAGTTTAAGCATTTTGGAAGGCCTGTGTATAGCAGAGCTACTTATAGTAGACCCAAAGTGAGCTTGCATATTCTGCGCGACACCCATGACTCAACACACATACACGCACCCGCAGTCGGTTATGTACAATTTCTTTGAAAAAACAATTTTTAGAACTTTGCGCTGGATGCACTGAATCCAAGCTAGTATCTGCAAGGATACCGCCTTAGTGCTTTGAGAAATTCTCGTGATAGGCGCGTTGGGATCTCAGTGAGGGTTTTTTCTAGTGAATAACATTTCAGCCTTTGGTTATAGGGCGAAAATGTCGACGAGCGCGGCAAAAAGTTCAACAATCTTCTGAGCAGAAGTCGCGTTGGGGTAACCAAATCGGAATATGCATTTCCGAGACGCGGTAAGAGTTTTAATAGTTGACTAATTTCGCCACTAAGTCTGAATTTTGCAATGGGCATCGGTACTATCGCCTTCATCAAAGAAAACTGATGCCTTTGAAGGTGTAGTCTTAGTCCCTTCCGACTGTTATACCACGAGTTTGTTTTGTTCTATCAGAAGTGCTAATCAGCACATTGGATACAGAAAAGAGGATAAAGCGCTGATGTCGAACAGGACTGGAGAACATTGGCGCTGCACATAAGGAACATATAACCAAAGGTCCACTAGCGAGTTTTTGCTTAATCTTACTATCACCAAATGTTGTTAGCTCCATGTATGTTTGTTTCAAACTTTCGTTACATACTGTAACTAACTGTGGAGTACAATCTTTGCCATGTTCTTTTCTATTGTCATATATAACAATACTATAGTAGTGTGCCAATGCGACTGTTATGATTGTCACGATAAATAATTGGTAATAAATAATATTTGTTCTTTTCCATTTTTGTGAGTGTACCTAGTTGATGAGGTAGCACTCAAAGGAAAGAGCAGGAATTGTTTTTACGATAGTGTGGGCCAGTAAATAAATTCTCCGGAAGCTCCAAACAGAGAAAACTTCCCGAAAGCTTCGTTCAGGCAACTTACCGAGGACGATAGCGGTGCTTCCGCAGGTGATCCTCCGGAGATTCAAAGCTTTTGGGAAGTTCCCGTGAACTGTCTGAGTTGTCTTAACCTGTAAATTGCAGCAAAAAATTTTTTTTGTTACAGTACAGACATCCATTTGTATTTGTTAGAAACGGATGTTACTAGATCGGGCACCGTCACTGAAGAGTTCAATCATCGTATCGATGAATTCTTGTATGTCGCTTATTGTTGCAAACATTGATTACAAAACATGCACCAACGTCTCTAAATCCTCACTGAAAGCCCAAAAGAAACGCAGAGCTCTTGAAGTTACCAGCAAATGTCTTCAGATCACTCCTTTTCTTCAGCTTTAATCTCAAACAGATTCCACCGCTCTCCCACTGAAATTTAGTTTATATTACTTTTGCTGTAAGATACAAACATTGTAAGTTTCGCAATTTGTTTGCAAGGGATAGGGGATAAGGATGGGATAATATGGGACGCATCACTTAACATAAAAAATTACATTCAGAGTTTTGCTTTGTTATGTACTCTTTGAGAATTCCCGCGCTCTTTGACCTCATACTGAATCGCCTTTCTTTTATAGCATAATGCGCTGCTGGTTCATCATAGAAGCAGATTTTATCCATCTGAAGTGATAAAAATTTGAGATCTCTTACAGCAAATCTCCTTTGTGTGCCAAAGACTTTACCTTCTTTTTGTGAATGATGCGCACCGTGCGCAGAAATTATGGATGTCAAAAAGCAATATCTCACCTTACAATTTTGACAGTTGCTATGTCTAAAGAGTTATTTGTTCTTATGCTCAATAGGTCTTTGTGCCAAGTTGCTAAGACACAGATAGTTTGGGTTAGAAATTCCAGACATCCAAAAATCAAACCATTGTAGATTTGAAGGCCTTCAGTGCCTCACGTAAGAGTTGAGGCTCTATCACCGCGCCATGTGGTTCATTACAAAAGTTCTATTTGTTCTGTCCGCAACGAAAATGGTAAGAAGAATTACGGTTACACTATTTCTTTGCATCGAAACTTTGAGATCCGTTTTAGACACTGAGTTCTGGTGTTTTTCGTTATACCCCTTCATATCTTCATGGAGGATATGTGTACTACTTTAATCCAGGAGACAGAGTTCAGTGCTTGAGAGCTTGTTATGAAGAAAGCGAGTGTGTATTTGTGACATACAATGAGGTTCGCAATTTCAAGTCATTAGACAAGAATGTCAGTTTTTTTTCAGGGCACCAATCACTGTAATTTATACAGACAGGGTAACAGTACGAAGTCGAATGGATACGTACTTACAAGAGAAGAGACAGATGCATCGTGCACGACGGAATTAGCCAGCGACAACATTTCGTTTCAAAAAATTCCTCACCGGGTTAACTCTACAAAATCAGAATGCAACAATACTGCAAGACATGATGTTGCTGTCATCAAATATTATGATCACTTCAACTACCGTTTCTTTCTCCACAGCTCCATGAAAGAGGGGAATTGGGGTCGTTCTGTTGGAAATTTCAGGTAAATTCTGAGCTATTGGACTATCTGAGCTATCTGAGCTATATACAAACATGTTTTTCTATGTAAACATACATAGTACCCAAATCTGTGCGAGAGTTCATATCAAATTTGTTTAGCTTACTCTTTTCGAAAAAGACAGCAGAAAACTGTACATCCGTTCCTGTGTTTCACAAAGCAAGTGAGTTTTTTAGCAATGCAATAGCTAATCTTTTGAGATATTTTATGCGCATTCCTGCACATGCAGTTTTTTTGAGCTCAGTTGAGTTGAACTATTGAGCTGTGTATTTTGTACCGTACTCATAAAGGTCATATCTTCAGAACTCTAATTTGCTCTATCAAATCGTTTTTAGATCTCATTCTGTGAAAAGCTAAAATATTTTCCTTCAAGACGAAAATGTAAGGCAGAATTTTATTTTCGGCATTTTTTCTCAGTTCAAGTTCCTCTGTTTCTTCATAATAAACTTTAAGATAACCCCACTCATACAATAATTGCTCGCCATACATTGTCTCTCAGGAGTGCTTTCTAATGCTCAATGTCAACTTCAAAGAGACGTGGCCCATCTTCCAATTTTGAAAGTAAATTATTGAAAATATTGAGCAGCGTATGTAAGCGTAGCGTTGTTTCCATGCACGCCAGTAATTTCTGGAGTTTTTTTTTGGATTGCGTGGAAGGCAACCTAGGCGACGTTTTTGCCGGAAATGGCATCTCCTAGATTTTCGTTTTGGAAGCTAGATTTTTCTAATTCGCTAATTTAAGAGATTTAGGTAGATAGATCAGAGCAGGATAACAGCTTCCAGAGGCTATGCTCATTTTTCTGATAAGCGCTACATAAATCAATACGAGAAATTTGCATGAAAAAATGCTAACGAACCTATACTACATAGCTACCAAGTATAAAATCAATAACCAGACAGTTGTCAAGTATATGCTGCGTTTTTTGATAGTTATTCGTAAAGACTCTAGATGTAGATTTGTCGTCTATGTTATTCAGATCTTCGTCGCTTATATTTTGGAGAAGCCTACAATACAACTGGCTATTACTTCTACAACGCTTACGCTTTTGCGGACTATTGCACTACTCCGAAGGGTGAATGCTTGGGTGTGCAAGAAATTCAAGAATACGTGGACGAAAAAGGCTTCTTTTACGACGAGCCTAGAAGAGAGGACATAACTGACTCCGGTCTGGGTCAAACGTTCTTCATCGTGGGCAAAGAGAATATCACTAAATTACCGTGAATGCTCGTTAGTTTAGAATTTTTCGGGTGAAGGACATTAGGTCGCCGAAAAAGGGCGGTCCCCGCGGTCATTTGCGACAAATACGCATTCTTGTACATGCGCGGACATGCGTTCCTGCAGGGAATCCGCGCAGGACTCTTCCAAATTCGGCGACCTAATGTCCTCCACCCGAATTTTTCGATTTCACACTCTGAGGCAACAGTCATGTTACTGTAATTGGCTATTCAGTAAACTATTTGTACTGCATGGTATCTTTGACCACTAATAAAGCTAACTGATGCATCTTGAAAGGACAAGTTGTAGAATCCCCTGTTCCACCCAAGGTAAGCATTATCGACTGTTTACCCAGATTCTCATTTTTCATATTGTTCTCGTTCCGAAGTCGTATCCCTAATCCGCGAAAACCCCAACAAGTCCCGTTCAGGAGAACGGTTATTGGATGGGCTAACACGGTTGGACGACCATCACTGGGGGAGGGCCTAGGGGTCCTCATGCCCCTTCGTCAATCCGGAGCGATTTTCTTGCTTTTGTAGCCACAATCTGCGCAGTAACTTGGGCATTGACAATTTTATGCTGCCAAAAGCTCAATAATCCCAACTTTGGGGGACAGTGCTTCCAATTATGCTGGTTGAGCGAGGGGTCAGGCGTGCCCGACGTGGGGGTCCTACTGGGAGTAATTAGAAGAGGAATGTAGACAAAGTATGAATTTTTCTAAATGAAAGAATACCACATTTGGACAAGCTGAAAAGCAAATGCCCTAGGAATGTCATATGCTAAATTTCACTTTGCAAAGATTGATCACAGTTGTGAACAGCATGTTTAATAACTCTACTACCAATGTCAGTCAATTTCATAAAGTTTCATTCCTACCGTGCACACACCTCAATTCACCAACAAAGGCCTACTCTGGTGAAATGAGTGTGGCTGTAACAGTTTGTGAAATCACTTGCATGAGCTCCAGAAATCATTACCTGTTACAACTTTCAGTACGTTCCAAACGTCTAGAAAGCCTTATTTTCAGACATGATCAAGTTGATTTCGATGAAAAAAGCCAGATATACTCGTAACTAACAAGGGAACCGTGTCGAGTCGAAGTGGCCTTTCCAGATGAGACCCATACTGTTTTGAAGAGCATTAATCAGTGATTCCAAATCTGTTTTCCAAGTCTGAGCGCCTCTGGACGCCGAGTTATGCTCGTTTTTCAGGTCAAAAAATTGAACGCAAAACTGAAGCAAAATCGCCCAAATTTGCTCAAATGGTCCAGTGTCAAGTATCAGAGCTATTTATGCAATGGATACACTTTATTTAATATGCTAATACTTAACATTGCTTAATCTGAGCGCTGGAAAGATTGTGTAATAATCGATTTTGCTTAAATTCTGCATTCATTTTTCGTTCCGAAGTTATAACTCGGCGTCCAGAGGCGCTTGGCAGATTTGGAAGGCAGATTTGGAATCACCGCTTAATACTCTTCAAAGCAGTATAGGTCTCATCTGGAAAGGCCACTTCGACTCGACACGGTTCCCTTGTAAGTTATGTCCTTACTCTACATAAGGAATGCCTCATATGCTTCAAACGATTGGTTTAGAAGCGTTCGCAATTCGAACCCTTTGGTTTCTCACATAGAGTGCTTTCGCATGGACTACAAACAGGGCCCGACAAGAGTCGGTTTCTAGGGTTTCGGAAGACGAAGTCCCTCCTCACTTTAGGAAGTTTTACGAAGTCCTCTTTGACCTACCTACTTAAGGGAACATGAAAACAAGAAAGGATTTACTAGCCTGAAGAAAAAACGTAAGATACGAGTGAAAATCCAAATTGAAGCTGAATATCAACAACAACGTTTGGCATTGGAGCGCGATATTTAACAAAGCGATTCATGAAAATAAAAGCATAAACAAAGAAAAGGCACAGATTTTGAAAAATTAGGAATTGTCTTGAAATGACTTCCACGGCCTTCACAAAAGGTGCATAGCAAAGTAATTTCAGGAAGTAAAAATTCCACCGATTGTCGAATGTGAAAACAAGTGAAGTGTAGACATTTCTTTTGCTGCTACAGAATAGATTACCTTTCCTGACTGAATTGCCAATGAAGGGTTATGCACGACATCAAAATTGTTTATGGCAATAGGTCAGATTGAAAAATCATGCGCAAAACATTAGTTACATTACAACTTGAAAACCATCAAATTAGGGATGGAGATTGTGGTCCGCTAGTCTTATATAGTGATTAGAGCGTAGTGATACACTAGCAACTCAAACGTTTCCCAAGATTGAACATTTAGTCACGAAAATAACTTTCAAAAAAAAAGCGATCAAATCACCGAGTTTTATGAATTGTTATACTTTGCAGACCTCTCTCTTAATGTTTCTTGGGGCTTCTCGGAAGACTGAAAAAAGTAAAATAGCTTAATTTATAAGTTCAAAGCAACTTCCTGGTTTGCATGAATATTGTGAAATCAGTATCAAAAAAATATAGGAAGATGTAAGAACACTAACAGAAAACAGCTAAATTGAACCTTGTAGTCTGAGAATTGCTCTATTTGATCCATATCCGAACCTTTCCAAAAGTTTGGAATGAAATTTCTGAAAAATCAGCCTAACCTTGAGCAGATAAGATTGACGGGTGGAGAATTTTGGCAATTATCAAGAAAAAGCATACAAGACTATAATTTGAAAAGGTATCCATTTAAAAGAGAAAAGCTGCATCGAATGCATGTTGAAACTCTTTCAGTTGTTTACTGTTTGTGGTTTTATAGTATTTTGAAATAGTGGACAAAACTTTCGGGACAACCTAATATTTTGAATTCTCAAAAATCTAAGGAACTTTCGAAAACTCTTGTGTTTAAGGCGTGTTGAGGGGTGCAAAGGGCTACTCGCCAGCAGATCCGCGCAAGTACTGAGGAGTACATCATTTTGGACATTTTTTCACCAACTGGTATTGTTTAAGGCGACCTGGAAGAGACCGGGATGTATCCAGGTAGGGTATGGTCCATAGTTTCTAGCAAATGTAGGGAGTGGCACAATCATGTCCGCACAATCTCCGCAAACGATCACATGAGCTACATGTTGCGCCATGTCAGTGCACCTGCGCATTTTAGCACGAGAAACATCTAATATTTTACAAAAACTATTTCCAATTTATCCGTGTCAAATCCTACACGATACACACAAAAAGAAGAATTTCCGACGAATTTTTCCTTTTTTATTTGTTTTTCATCCCTTGTTTTTGGCGTGCTAGCGCACCCTGCTGCTATAAAAAAGACGATGCGAAAATGTGTTCTAAAAAATTATGGGAGAGAAAAAACACAATTGAAAAAAGAAAAATGACGATCTTGAGTGTGCTAATAAAGTTGTCGTAAACTTGCTAGCAATTTGGGCGTTTGCGGCATCAGTAATATCGTCGTGTACGCCCTGCCGTAGCCTAGATATGGAGCAACTAAGAAAGTGTAACAGAAATTAACTGCCACCTTATAATCACATTTCATTCCTTCTGTCTTCATGCTCTCAATGAACGCACAATCAACAAACAATATTTACCACCAGTTACGACAACTCTGCACTGATAAACAATAAAAACACAGACCAGGCAACATTTACTGACAGATTCTACGAGATCTTCACAAAAAGGGATTATTAAGAGTTCCAGAGTGAAGAAGAAACAAGATTTATTTTTTTCATCATTTCTTTCCAAAACCTCTAGCACTCAGAATGGCGAGTCGTTTGAGGCTGGTTCGTTTTGTGTAAGGGTCTTCGATTTCACTGTAGTCTTGAGCTCCCTCGAAACGCTTCTGTCTTAGCTAAAATATGGCAACGGTTATAAAAAGTATATGATGCATGTGAATAAGATGGGTGACCATTATATGATGACTTTGGAAATCCGAGAACAATAAAGGAATGACATAGAATGAATAATCATCTTAATGACTGAGGAAGAATGAATGTTCACATAAAGGAAATAATTATTCGCTACGGATACGAAAGTTGAAACAAAACGTGTTAGGTTGTCTCATTTTTTTTCAGTAGACAAAATCTGCTACCTCAGTTATTTAGAATTATTTGAATTTAGATTCGAGTTTTCATTGATAGGGTTCTATAAAATAAAGTCCACACAATTCCTATACGACCTGATGCACTTGTCGTTCAAAGCCTCTGGAATAGATTGTCCGTAAAATGGAGTCTTTATCAAAAAAAAGTTGCGAGTCTTCCGCTCATATGGATCCACGTCGGACATCCATATTCATGGTGCATTTTTCGTGGCTGGACTGAGAATTGACATGCTTTTGCTAAAGCAATCCTAACCTGTTTTGCGTATGTAATTTGTACTGTAAACTTTTTGAAGTTAGAATAGTAGATTTTTAACCTTCAAAAAGCGCTGTCAACTAAGTTATATCAAATCAAGCATAAAACCCAAGAGAATGCGGGATAGACTCCGCGCGTTGCGATAGTTAAGGTCATGAGGTCCCGCAGCTTTTTTCAGCCTTTACAAAACTGTTTCACTCGCTCATATTAAGATGCAAAGCCGTAAGAAAAGTCTGTTCTTCTCGTTTTTGTGCTTTTTTGAATTGACTTCTGGACTCGGCATAGTGGATAAGCTCGGTAAGTGGAAAATTAGAAACTGAGTTTCTGCATGCTGCTTTTGATCATGTAAACTGAATAGTAAAAGAAAATCAGATAACGCACAACGGATCAGAAGGAAGAGTTGATAGGGAAACAAATTGAGATATCTGGGTACGCAGTCAATGAATGAAAGAATAAGCAGCTCTAAACAAATGTTGATACATAAACACTCCATTAAAGGATGCGTTGCACGATTCGTTTAGAGACAGGAACGAAACGAAATTGACGCATATTCATGATAAGCGCACAAAATAATTATTAGTTTGATTGAGAAAACAACTTACAGCCTCGTTCAGTCGCGCTAGATTTTCTCGTAGTCCTTCATTGCCGCCAGTGTATCGTGCAATTGGCAAACCAAGGTACTCAAACCGCTTGTAGTTACCTAAATTACGACCTTTATGTCAACTTACTTAGCTGCAAGAGTAAGTGCACACTCATTCTAAATCGGCCAATTTTTTCAATTTTTTCATTTTTTCAATTTTGTAAAACGAACACTTTACTGAGCTTAAGCTTATCCAGCCTTTCTTGGAGAGAAATGTTGATGTCGGTTCTTTAGCGTCCATTTAAAAATTACCACCTTTTCAAAAATTCGTCTTTCATTGAGTCGCAAAAATGAAAAAGTAACAAAATGGCACCTAACCCCTTTTCAACTGAGTCGGCGGATGGAAAGCGAGGCTTTGTGACCTAATTAAGGCCGTTTGTGTCCGCGACGCAGTCTGCGTCTCCCTTGCGCGCGTGCTCAGTGAATTATCCTCTAGCCTTGATTAGGTCACGAAGCCTCGCCTCCCAGCTGCCAATCTAAAATTGGAGGGTTTTGTCGAAAATTTTATAAATATAGAGAAAGCGTTACAAGAAAATAGGAAATGGATTAAAAGTCATACTGGTACAGTATGTTCCAAACTATGCACATAACTTTAACCGTTAACATCTGCCTTCCATGAAGTACCAATTAGCTTTAGGAAATTAGGCTTTAGCTTACATTCATGGTATGGAGCAAATCACTCATCGCTCTTCATTACTGTGGTGGGAACTATCATTAGGCTAATCAGAGTCGCTGACTACAATGCCTCATTTGCACTTTACCGTAAGCCTTTTTCCGTAAGTTATGCCAGGTAAACCACGATGATTTTAATTGTTAAATATAACCACGTCATTAGAAACTTCAAGAACCCGTAAAAAAAGTCGTCCAACAATAATTTTCTGTGGGTTTTTCTTTCAGGCGGCCTATTTCACTATGCCGCTGTATGCTGGAAGTTCCTACCATAATCCTATAGCAACGAAGGGCGATGTGTGATTCGCCCCGTAGATACCTAAAGCTAAGCAAAAAACTGTGGGAAGAGAGATATACAATTTAAAACTATGCACATACATTAGGGACACCCTATATACGCCTGACTGCCGGAGGTTTGTTTAAAATCTATCCATCATTGCTCAATAATATTTTTAACTTTTAACGCGAAAATTGACCAAGTTGCCTTTGACTACGGACTACAACGTCTTCATAGGTTCTCATTCTCAGTCTGAACGTAAGGGATGTATTTTTTTTTGTCTAATTTGGGTGCTGTGTAATCATCAGAAGCGGACTTTTATGCTCAAAGTGTGAAAAAACAACTAGATACAACTCTCTTATTTTCTTAAACTTAAGGATCTACACTTTTGCGCTGTCATTTTGTCTCTAACCGTTAACCTTTCTTCGGAATTTCTACGCTTTTAAAAGAAGTTACAGAAAAATTCTATTTTTCCAATTTCTGCTTTACCTTACAACCTGAAGTAAGTATGAAAATGCACAGACCTTTCGGTAAGCGTTGAAAAGGAAGTAAAAACCTTAATCCAGAAAATGAACCTACCATTTGATAATGAATGGGAAACAGTTTGAGCGACGAAGGCACAGAAGACGACCGCCGAAAGAGTGAACATTACCTTTAAGGAGACATTAAACAAGACAAATATAGATAATAATAAAAACTTTGAGATAGGACGCAGCAAATATAATAAGAACAAGACCGTCCAAAGCACAGAGTAACATGTGAAATTGAAGCGCAAGTAATGCAGCTTATCAAATGACTTTTGTGTTTTGAATATCTACTCTTTGCTACTGTAGAGGTTATGATGTAAACTATAAATGCAGCCATTCTTGCTGAATTTTGTCACCGCATGTAAGAATTGGGCTGAGTTTATACCGATTCTTATGTTTCGGTACTGTTCTCGCACAGTTCCCGCACTGTGCTGGAACTGTTCCGGAACTGTGCTACATGCGCAGCAATCGCAAGCCGTTTTAAACGAGAGGGGGGGGGGGGATTGGAGAAAATTTTGACCGTTTTCAACGGTTCTTTCTTCCAGATTCCTCTCATTTTGGCTTCGTTCCTCTATCCCACTTTCCTTTTGGATCAAAGCGGGGTTGAAGAATGAGCGCTTTTGTACTTTGCATATCCAACAAAATGTCTCGTTTTCGTTTCGTTTTCTTTTTGATCAAACCTATTCCATTCGTTCCAGAAAGCGCTGCGTAGTTTTCGCAGGCATCTGTCTCGAATTAACACATGCACATTCTGAAAATGCAGAGATGGGAACTTTGCTCTTGTTTTCTGATAAATTTCGTTTTCGGGCATTCTCAGCTCCTTTCGTCTTTCCATATCGTTGCTTCTCCGTTCTCAAACTGCGGACTAGAAGCGCGGTTAAGGATCGAAGGCTGTTCTGCTCCATGTATCCGGAATGTCTTCGTGCGCTTGTCCATTCTCTCTTCGCTATCTTTTCCAGACCTACTTCATGTGTTTCAGAAAGGAGGGTAATTTGCGTAATTTCGCATCTGTGTTGAAAGGTGCAGAAAGATCTCTAGAACACATGAAGTGGTTCTAAACAAAAATAGAAGAAAAAAAATGGAAGAGCGCACGAAGACCCATCTGCTCGAATACATGGAACAGAACAAGGTTATTTCTTAACCCCGCTTTAAGTTCGCAGCTTTTGTCAACACTAGGAGAAGCGGGGTAGAAGAAAGAACGGAGAAGCAAGGATATGCGAAGACGAAAGGAGCTGAGAATGTCCGAAAACGAAACTTATCAAAAACAGGAGAATAGTCTCAATTTATGCAACAAAGTCTCAATTTATGCAATTTCAGAATTGCTCGCACGCCCTAATTCATAGCAGGTAGCCACCGCCACCTGCCATGAATTAGGGCGTGCAAGCAATTCTCAAATTGCATAAATCGAGACTTTGGAATTGCATAAGGGAAGCGCGTTAGAGTGTAAGGCCAAAATGAGAAAAATCTGAAAGAAAAACTGTTGGAAACGGTCAAAATTCCCAAGTCCCGCCGTTCAAAACGCGCGCGGGGGCTTGCAGCACAGTTTCGGAACAGTTCTAGCACAGGCGGGAACAGTTCCGGAACATGGGAATCAGTATGAACCCAGCCTTACAGAAGTTTACGGTACAGAGAAAAAACGTCGAATTGCTTTGAAACTTGGTTGAGTATTTCGAAACGCTTATTAATTTGACACTCATTGTGCATGAAAGTACCTCTTTTGTTAGGATGAAATAAGATTTTTTGTTTGAGCAATTAATGATGTAATATGCGGATGGGCCTCCAAATTTGTCGCATTCGACTTGCGCAACTTCTCAAAAAATAGGTCATTTTTGTTTTTCGGATTATTTCTTTTTGACTAGGCCCGATAGGTCAGCCTCTAGCAACATGCTGCCTACAACTTCGACTTGATGTTGTTGGTTGCTTAAAACGTACTGAAATTCCACCAATTTGTAAGAATGATTAAATTTTTTCTATAGCGCTATTGAGAACCCAACGTTTGTGCACTCTTTCAGCATACATCATAAACTATATTCTGCCAAAAAAAGAGCATTGCAATCAAAGACCAAAGTTACGCGAACGATTGCAAAGCTAATGTGAAAGCTCAATGATAGACAGCTTAAATGATATCTGCATAATTTCTAGCACAGGAAACCAGGTCAGAATGTTGAGCTATACCACTGCTGCTTCATAAAAAAATCAGTTTTTTTAAGTAAATTTTCACTTTATTTTCACTATACAAAATACAATCAAAAGGACACATCCTAAAATATTCGCGGTGAGGGAGTTTTGAGTTCACAAAGATGGTAAGGTTCAACAAACTTCTTTTAAATAACATTAACGATTCAGAGAAAAACTGTAATTGTCATCGCTATGAGCATGACATGACTCATATAAGGTGATGATCTTAAGTAAACTCAGCAGAAGAGTTTCTACTCGCATTAGAAAGACATTACGTAAATTTTCGCACTCTCACATGATCTGACATTTCCATTCAAAAATAAAGAAAGCCTTTGAGAAACAAAAAGAGCATGAATTCATCAGTTTAAGTTCAAGCTTGAAAGTGCACATTTATTTGCAATTCACTGATCATCAAAAAAGGAAACTCTACAGCTATTGTTGATCGAAATGCACTGAGCACTGATGCGATAAGTAATTGGCATTGCGCGAATAATAGACTTCAGATAGGTGAAGACGATGTGAGCTTTCGTTCGTTTTTTCATGGTCCGCTAACTTGGGAATGAGTGATGACGGCTTGGAAATATTCTATTGTTATAATGTGAGCGCCTCCGCTGACACTTCGTTTGAAAGAGCAAGAATTGCAGAGGTGGCTCTGAAAGCATGATTGTTGGACCTGTAAAAGAAAAAACTGTCCTAGCAAATTAGAAAAGTCATTCTCAACTATTGTGCGGCAAAATGTTGCAGCATTCTGAGGGTTGTTGCAAGAACAAATTATTCAATTCAACCTTGCAAAAGCAAACTTCTTCCTCATAAAAATTTGTCCTGACACTTTCAAAAACTCGCACTATTAAAGGCAGCGTCCCGGCAAAAAGATGGGTGCCGGGTTTTTTGTGGCGATGTTGAAGTAGACCCCTACCTAAACGATGACTAAAGTTCGGAGCGAAAGAGGGGGTCTACCAAGCTTGAAATTTGCTCCGGAAGTGGCCCGAATCCTACGGTAGGCCCGGACGCCGCCCACACAGCAATATCGATTTGCAAGGCCAGAGTGCGTATAGCGCACACGTTAAGAGCACAGGGTCCCGCAACGACTCTGCGTCTCTACTCTGTATGCATTTCGTATTCGTACTCGCCCGAGCCTACCGTAAGATTCGGGCCACTTGGGGGGCGATTTGTAGACTTCGTAGACCCCCTTTCGCGCTGCAAACTTCTGTCGTCGCTTAGTTAGGGGGTCTAGTATTGCATTATTATCAGAGCCAGGTTTCCCCATTCTGGTGGGACGCTGCCTTTAAGCTCAGATTATCAATCTCTTTTGTCGGAGAAAATTAATCTTATTGGGAAGTGCATTGTCTACTTTATAAAAAAACAATGCATGAGGTCAAAATCGAATCGAAATGTCCCAAAAACCTCTTACTTGTTCCTCTTCTAGCAGATGCTTCGCTTACCCATATATACACTTGCAATATTTTTCATGATTGGGAAATCAAGAGGGAATGACAAACGAAGAATGGCGAAATACTCTCCTCTTACGCTACTCCCAGATGCAGTTGTGTATTATTAGGTTGATGCATTCTTGCACCAAGATTTTTGAAATTTTGTTATTTTACCAGCCAATAAAATCTTTTTGTTTGAAACATAGTAGAGGAAGGCAGTGGCGGTCTCAGGATTTCGGACGAAGGGGGGGGGGGGACAAAAATATCTCCAACCCCTAAAATCTGGGAAAAGGGGCAGTGGCTTTAACCATGCCCACAAAAAAATTTTTACAAGGCTAAATTGAATTTTTAAAAATTTTCAAAAAATACTTTAATTGTTTACGAAAACAATCAAGTCACTTGCGCATTTTATAATCCATATATGTAATTTCCAAAAATTCCCCCCCCCCTCGGTCCGCCACTCGAGGAAGGGAATTTGCCCTTTCCGCAGGTGCTTGGGCCAAAATTCTTGAGGGCATATGGCAGCGATATAAGGTGATCAAGAGAATTACCTAAAATGTGGTCTTTTGAGTATTGGTCACTCACCTTCATTCGAAAAAAAATTTTTGTCGCCTCCCCCCTCCGAGCGGAAATCCTGGGTACGCCATTGCAAGGAAGGTACTATCAATGGCCGCAACCTTTTGATATGAAATGCTCTTCTGAAGCAGCTTCGAACGCTCATTTCAAAACTGCTTTCCGTTTCTGCGGATTGCCCTTCTGAAGAATGTTATAAAAGCCTGAAAATCCTATTTTGGGGGCGCTCTTTGAGTATGAGAGCAGAGCTATGTGCGTTGATGGTGCAGTAGTGTAATGGTCAGTTGCTGGCATTGAAGGCGAAAGGTCGATGGTTCAAATCCGATGCAGAGCGAACCATTTTGCGTTTTAAATGTGAGTTAAAAATCACTCTAATCCGTCTGCAGTCACTTATTGTAACATCCTTGGCAAATGTGAACTAATGAAAAAATTTTCTGGCGTAATTGTTTGAATGAGGCCCTGAAACTCCACCTGACTTCGTTACCAGTATAGGAATGAATATGGTGAAGCATATTCACTACCATATAAAGCTCAAGGAATGCGCACTATAATCGAAAAGAAGTTCTCTCCTGCTTTTATTTTAATGGTACTTGCGATGAGAACTGCGCGGAGTTTTTCTTCATACGCTGTCCCCGTTGTGAAAAATGTCGGTGTTTTGCCCACTTTGTAATTTCGCTTCACCTCTGTACTTTCGCTTCACCTTTGTACATATTTTTTTTGCGGAGAAAACCAAATCAACGAGCAAGCGGTTTTTGCCAGAAAATTTTTTCCTCAAGTCACATTTGCTAAGGGTATAGTAAGTGACTGCAGATGAATTAGAGTGGTTTTTTGAACTCACATTCAAAATGCAAAATATTTCGCTCTGCACCGGATTCGAACCATCGACCTTTCGCATTCAATGCCAACAATTCACAATTACACCACTGTACCACCGACGCACATACTA